AAGCAATTTAATAAAATTATATTTATATAAATTGATTAGTTTCAGATCAGATCGGTTTACAAAAAATTAAAACCGATTGGTTTTCAGATTGGATTGGTTTACAAAAAATTAAAACCGATTGGTTTTCAGATCGGATCGGTTTACAAAAAATTAAAACCGATTGGTTTTCGGATCGGATCGGTTTAAAAAAAATAAATCAGATCGGTTTCGGTTTTGGTTAAAACCGATTCAAACCGAACCGTTGCGATCCCTAGTTGCAAGGGATAGATATGTCTATATTGTTATGAGTGGATAGACAGTTTAAGTGATGATTTAAGTAATATAAGAAAAAGATTAATTTGTTATAAATAGTAATGGGATTTGTTAAAAGGAGATAATTAATATAGGAGAGTTTAGAAGATATATTTATAATGTGATTATTGGTTTTTGTACTCATAAGAAGAAATTAGATTAAGAAGAGAGTGAGATTTAACTCTAGTTCAGAAAAGAATTCTGAGATAATAAAATGCTCAAGGAGTTTATTGAATTTAAATATTTTGTAAATATAAGCAATATTAGCTGAGAGAAAATCATTGTTTGATAATGGAATGCTAATATATAACATTCTGTTTTCTTGTAAGATTTGATTAATTTTACTGGGATTTTCTGATAATAGGATAAGAAGAATATCAAATCATAATTTATTTGTCATAAAGGAATTTGATTATTTTTTTAAGGTTTTCATCTTTTGGAAGGAATTTGATTATTTTTTTAAGGTTTTCATCCTTTGGAAGGAATTTGCTGATGTCCAAAAATGGATTGAGATCTGATATATTTTTTGGTAGCCAAGGCTTATTAGTCTAGGAAAACTCTGAAGAGATCCACTGTGCTTTCAATAGTAATTGGAAAAAAAAGTCTTTTTTAAAAATATTGATAAGAGTTTAAGTATCTTAGTGATTATTAGCAGGAATTTGAAATGTTACTGATATTAGGTATTCAGAGATTAACAGGAGACTGTAGAAAAAAGATTCTTTAAATGCAATAAAGTATAAAGAAAAGAAATATTTGTTTTTAAATTCTTTGATTATTATGCTTATGTCTTGAGTAAGTGAATCTATTGGAAACTGGTTTTGATATTCGGATACCAGGTCTATAGAAGAGTCAAAAAGTGGGATTTTTGATGGAAAAGATTGAAATAAGATTCTGAAAGTCTTGAAAAGATAACAAATTGCTTTCTGGGTTCTCTTATTAAACTATTCAGGTTTCTTAATTTATTTCTCTTGATTATTGGAAACAAGAAAAAAAAATTGTATAAAAGATTGAAAAGATATTTTGGTAATAGAAATAAGATTTTGAAATAGAAGCTGGAAAAAGATTAAACTTGTAATAAAATTGTAATAATCTTGTAACATCACCTGTTAACTTATTTGTATCTCAATTACAATACTCTTTTACTAATTGCATGACTATTTATTATCTTAACAATAAAGTTGTGATTCACAAGTAACAATGCTACTGTTAAAAAAAAAAGGCAGTTAAAGCCTAACCAATATGAATAAAAGTAAAATACTTTTATTGTAAATGAAAGTGAAATACTAGGGAATTGTACTCTATAATCTAGCAGTTTAAATTAATACTTTTCTATTGCTGCTGAAGTTCTGCCTAGTTATTGAAAAGAAAGTAGTAATCTAGGTAGACACATTTGATTTGTGTCCTGCAGAAGGAATTGTTGATTTAAAGATAATATATTCTTATATATTAATATACTCATTACTATAATATTTTACTTTTTATAAAACATTAACTATATGTCTTACTTATATTTAAGTAGTATATAAATTATTTATATATTATTAATATTTTTTTTTTAATCAAACTTCTATTATTCTTTTTTACAATTGGCAATTTTGGCTGAAATGTTTTTTTTATTTTTTTATAGCAAATAGTTTCTCAGATTTTTCCTGATAAGTTTTTTCAATAATATATCTGTTTATAGTGACAGGTCAATATGTATTATTATATACTTTATACTTTATTAATTTTGTATATAATATATTATGTTTATTATGTTTAATTAATAAAAATATAAGAAAGACCACACTTGGTATTTAAAAAAATTAAAAAATAATAAAATGAAATAAATGAAAAAGTCATTATCTATTTATTTTTATTTATTATTAAAAAAAAAATTTCAAAATTCTTATAATTAATTATTAATATATTTATTCATTTTATATTATTATTCAAAGCAAAATGAAAAATATTCTATGTTTATGATCCTTGATGAAAATAGAGATCATGTGTAGATTTTGTCCATTACACTTGTGTAATACATGACAGTACAATGGTTTTCGTTTTCTAGTTTATTGTATAATTAGTTAAGCCAATTACTTTTCATCAAATTAAATAATATTCAAAATTATTTAAATATATTTTTAATCAATTATCTTTTAAAAGATTTAATTAATATGGTTAAAAATTCAAAATTCAAAATAAAATAGGCAAAAAAAAAATTTTTTTAAAAAACAATAATGTATTGTATTTAAGAAAATAATAAAAATAAAATATATATAAATTAAGAATTTTGAATTTTTTTGAAAATTTTTAAAAAATAATTTTTTTTTTATAAATGTATTCTTTGATATATCTTTTAAATAGATTTTTTTATATTTAAATTATAAAACAAGTAAGAAAAATGTTTTTGAAACAAAAAGACATGTGATAACTAGTGTATATTTTATTGATTAAAGTGCTTATATTGTTAGGAAAAGTAGATAGACTTCATTATAATAAAGACAGAAAGCTTTTTGAGAATCTTTGTTTTATTGGATTGATAAAAGAATTTAAATTGATTATCTTTATAAACAAAAATACAATATACAGTATATTTGATAAAATTGGTTGAATATTTTTATTGTTATTATAAAAATTATTATTAAATATTCTGAATTTATTATAAAAATATTATTCATTACAATTACAATACATAGTACAGTATAATTATACATGATGATTTTAAGAAACTTCATAACAATCCTTTCCGCGGATCAAAGTTTTTAAATTTTTCAACTTTCGAGTTATTCCTTCGTTCTTTTCCTCTACTTTTCCAACTAAATCTTCAATCAGATCATCCTCTAGGTGCCGACAATTACGAAATTCCAGCACCTCCAATTTTTCGCACTCTAATATATCCTTTTGTGAATGACAATTTTTGAAATTTACATAATCGAATTTTAAATGTTTCAATGTTTTTCTTTGAGAAGTGATGGAGTTGATAATCACACAAATGTCCCAGCATGAGATAAATATGGTCAAGGATGTTAGTTTGTTTTGAGATAGAATCCATGAAGACGCCGAAATCGAATTGTTGAACGGTGGCTGAATACCGTAAAACAAGGAGCAGCGTCCATGGAGGCCAATACTAATTTTTTTCTTCGAATTTTAATTTTTAAAGAGAATAGTATTACCACACAAGCTTTTAAATATCGAAGGCTTCTTTCAACAATAACCAATTTATGATACTTATACATACCACGTTTCTACAATGTTTACTTAATCCATTAAAGAATCTCTCCATGCTAAAATGAGTATGAATTGTAATTTGTCTTATGGGGGTTAACATTTCTCTAAAATCCTCCTCAAATAATAATAAAAAGTATTCTTCGTCATAAATTTTTTTTTCTTCCGTTTGTATTATTAAGGTATTCAAATGGAGTGAATTATCACAAAATAAGTGTAAAAGAGATTTAACAATTAAAGAGATATTTTCTTGTTCTGAATTTCCATTTTGTTCCAAATTACACCATCCAAATACGGAAAGTAGAAACCCGACATAGTCGAGTTGTTTTAGAAAAGAAGCATAGTTGAAGAGCGGTTGAATTTGAGGAAGATCGAAACCTTTGGATTTTAAAGTTGTGAGGTGTGATTTTTTTAGACACGACAAATATGTAGAGATAAGTGTTTTATTTCCATGAAGCAAGTCACGGAATGGGTTTGCCCAGATATGGCAAAGGGAGGCATGACACCAGTCTTTATTTATCAAGAGATACGGAAGAAAATTCCGAATTTTGTCTTTAGAAATATTAGAAAGTATATGACTTATAACGTCGAATGGAAGGTACGGAGCTGGTGACATTTTGAATCGATGTTTTTCGAAAAGTGAATACAAAATTACAAAGTTGAGGGACAAAATTTTTATCTTATTTTATTGTCATACTTTCTATATTGATTACAAATTGTGAGTTACCTGTCCAAGTACGTAATATTTGACAACTTATTTGTCATGAATACAATCTAATATAACGTCCTCCTTTGGAATCTTCTTATGAAAGAAAAAGTATCGAGTCTTTTTTTTGCTGGTGTTTATTATATTTTCTACGCCACATCTTCACATTAATCCCTATTAGATAAGTGATCGTGGCTTTCAATAAGTTGCATAGATAAGATTTAAAAACTTTATCCGAATCTTTTTGACGGGTATGGTAAAGATTCTTATAAGAGGAAATGATGTGCGAATCATATGATACGTATTTGGTTTTACAAGGTTTACTATTACGGTTATACTGCAATCTCGATCTTCCTTCCATTTCTTTTCACAATTACCTTTTCACGTGTCTAAATCTATTCAACGTTTCGACTCTCATAACAGCATGGTCAACTATGGGTTCGGGGTACCTGAATTATCGTAGTTGAGGGAAACGGAAATTAGTATGATATTCGATTCCATTCATACAGAAATTCAAGGAAGCTTACCCCAGCTTCTTAAATTCTGATCGAGGCAACGATTTAAAAGGATCGTGAATGTCTAGTGATGAAAGATTTTTCAATTCTGGCACCCACTTCCTGATGTAATCTCCGTTGGGATCACACTATGCCATGTGACAAAGAAAGTTTCCCTAAGTAATGCTAGCTAGCTTTTATTTTGTTTTAATATACGAAAGTTTTCGAATTACCTTTTGACTCTGACTAGTCGGATTAAAAATTCTGAAGTATGGCTATATTAACATGTATTGAAAAAAAATGAATTGATAAAACGTTAAAGAAACGTGTTAAATATTTTTTACAAGATATAGATATAATCAAACTTTTTTTACTTGAGCGTCTGACCCCGTAGAGGCGCACTAGAAGTTCCAAGAAAATTGTTTTATTCATGAAATTTTTGATCGAATCGTTGAAAAGAAAATAATGAAGTCTAACAATCTACCCATTGCCATCCACCATTATTATTTGCAAAATCTCCGTCGATCAAATGATTCATAAAGTATTTCTCTCCTTTTCTCCAGTCAATGAGCAAATCTGCGATCGTCATTTGTTTCAACAAATTCAGTCAGAATAGAGCATCGGAGTTGACAAAAAAAACTTGCTAAAGAATTCTACCTTTGACCAAGAACATTGCAACAATCATGCGAGCTCTATTATGCATCCAGCCGCTTCCGTTTAGTTGACGCATACCTAAACCATATATTGTAAAACTGTATCCTTAGCCGCGAAGCCGAAGAAATTGATAATTACCTGCATCAACAATCGGGTATCCAGTTTTTCCTTGGCACCATCTTCGAAAATATTCTTCGTTCTCATTCCATCTAATATTACTCATGTGTAATTTAAACGGTTGATTCTTGCAAACATGAGGAAATCCCACCAATATATGACGATAAAATTCTCTCCATACAATCTCCTCGATCCATTTGGCAATTCCGATATTTCCTCTTGAGAGTTTTTTTCTGTTCGCCAGATATGCTTTCAATACGCATTGTCGAGCTGAAATAATTCCTGATGCAATGTATGGCGACAAACTCGACGAACCATTTCGCGAAAGAACATCCCTAGCCTCATTATACCTGCCGATTTTATTTGCAACAAATTGCCCGAGTCTTCTATGTGCTTCTGGTTCTCCTGCGGGAAAGTTCGTTTGAATGCAAGTGGATGACACGTCTAAATCAAATCCTGGAATCGAGTCGGGAATGTTGAACTCGAAAGTTTCTGGATATAATTCTAAAATTTTATCGGAATTTCCGACTGGATCTGAAACCAAATCTAACAGGGAGATATTCGATTCGACGAATTTGATCCACGAATTCTTAAAAGGCGTATAGATCGTATAGGTTTTGCCTTCCTTTATTATCACAATTATCAGTCCAAGAAAAATAATGCTTGATTTCGTTTGAGTATTCGATGATAGATTGTGACCACGCAAAAATTATAACCTAACCTTTGTCAAAATCATGCCTGGCTCCACGATGCATTGTGAGTGCAAAAATTGAACACTAATCGAATTCTTCCTTGCCATGTTAAGCAGTCGGTTATCTCTCCTCATCTCGTCCACCTATGATGAAAAAACAGATAAACACGAACTCGAAAGTTCTATTTCCACAAGAAAGGAATTTTAATGCTGACCTCATATTCTATGTTAGCAAACACATGACTCACGTTCAACTTCTCACACAATTCAATAACACTAGCGGGCACATTCCTCGCAAGATCCACAGTCTGGATGATTAACGGAATATTTAATTCTGACAATCTCTTCTTTAACTCTTTCAAATTACGGAACCAGAAATCAACTCTCGCCGGCGCAACATCATGCGATTTCCATTCTTCGGGCGATATGACGTACAACGCGAAAAGATAATTATCTGTGCTGGTGTTTAAAAAGGACGAAGCTTGATACAACGCGATATTATCTTTTATCCTTAAATCTGTTCTAAACCACATTAAGCAATTTCTAACTTTAATTTCCTTTCCATCATCCTCGAGGGATGATAATTTTAATTCAGGTAACGGTTTGGTGGACCTCGTGACAGATAAATATGGGATTACTTTACTGGTGGATGGAGTGATGGCATCTTTATTCTTTTGCTTTTTGGACCTATCTCCGGTGACATGATCATTCGTACTATCAAGTAGCATGTCATCATCGACTAAATTGGTGGACGCTGAACGAGTTCTCTTTAGCATTTTCTGGTGACAGCAAGCTATGCAAAGTTATTATACCCTTATATATTCAAGTTATCCTGGAATTGAGAAAAATCGGAGTTAAATCTTTGTTCTCAACACGATAACGATCTCGTAATACTTATTATTAATCTTGAATAAATGCATTATAAATCACGTCGCTCATCGGCTCATGTATATGATATCTTCGATCTGTAGAATAATACCTATTTGTGGCTTTTTTTTTTTTTTTAAACATTTATCTCAACTCATTTAACGTAATGATTTTGCATATTTACAAAAGTCAGATTAAAAAATTGTATTATAAATACAGTAGACTTATTTATTTAAAGCTTATCATCACTTTGCCAAAAAATATAAGTTTGATACAGTAATTAAAAAATCTTGGTTACAAATAAGTCAAATATGCTCGGACAAATAAACAGTCAAATTGATGAAAACAAACAAACAACGATTTTTTTTCTTGTTTTTATAAAAACATACGATAAATAAATAAATAATAAATACCGTAATAATCCAGAATCATGTTTTTTGAATTTTATATTATTAATGGATGGGTATGGCATAGTAAAGATTTATAATAAAAAATCAATTTTATAATAGCAAAGATTGATGATATTTAGCTAATAAAATTGTACGTACAATAAGATATCTCTTGTAACGTATTAATCAAGATTTTTAGATTTGTATATGGGGAATTATTTTTGAAGGAGACAAAAATGCTGGATATGATTTTTTTGAACCCAACTTTTAAACAATACATATATA